CTTTTGCGCAAGACCAGCCAGTCAAGCCCTGAGACAGAGAGTGAGCAGTGTCCCCTCATACTCATGGTCCAGCTTGTCCATCTGCATCCCTGATGCTTCAGCAAAAAACCACATTCACTGAGATGGATTGTAAGGGAGAGGGGGAGGAATCCCTTCCTGACCCTTGCAGGCTGACCGTCTGAATCCTAGAAGCATGAGCTTTTAGGAAGAGATGTCATAAACAGGAACTGATCCCCCAGGGCTGTGGGCTGCATTCATGAGCACTGTTGTCACACAGCGACACTCGCGAATTTGGGCAGCTCTTTCCGATGAAGTAGTTTGGATCCTCCTCTTGGCAGGCTGTTCCAGAACCTCACCCCTCTGCTGTCTAGAAACCTTCTTCTAATTTCCAGACTGAGTTTGTTCCGTTTATGCCCATTTGTGCTTGCGCCAGCATTGTCTTTCAATCTGTAAACCTCTTCACTCTCCTGGTGCTTGGTGCATTTATGGAGAGCAAACATATCCCCTCTCAGGCTAAACAAGCTGAACTTCTCCAGTCTCTTCTCATAAAATAGGCCCTCCATTCCCCTGATCTTCACGTCACTTGTTCCAGTTTGCGTTCGCCTTTCTGGGCCATTCACGTAGTGTTATTTCAATTAAAGCGCAGCCCGTAAGGGTGCGTCTACGCTGTACCCATAGCTACAAATAAGCTACGCAATTTGTGCTGCACAAATTGCATAGCTTGTTGTGAGTCAATTTGGAAATAGCTTATTTCGACATTTGGCGCTGTCCACACAGCACTTATTTAAAAATAAATCGCTATTCCGGAACGTCCCTTACTCCTCGTGGAATGAGGTTTGCAGAGTCGTTGGAATAGCGAGCCTGTTATATTTTGAAATAACGGGCATGCTCAGAAGGTGCAGAATAGCTATATATCCAGTATCCCGAAATAGCGCTGCAGTGTAGTGTGCTTTAGATATCATACCTCGGTGGGGCGCCTTTCTGTATCGTGTAACTGTGCCCTTAAGAATTGCACAGTGGAGCTCTTAATTTGCACGGCTACTGATGTCGACAGTGGGCTTAATCTTATTCGCTCCAGCTACAATATTTAACTGCCACAGTGAGTTCCCCAGGTTGGTTTGTGGCCTGGCTGAAGAAATTTTTTTTGGATTCTATAGTTCTAGCTTTGTAGTGTCATTAGATGTCTGCATTACTGCAATATAATGGGATGTGGGCGGAATGCTGGGGGATTGATCAGTTTTCACTATGTCTTCATGTAACCCACACACCTTCTGGGTGTGGTTCACTGTCCCATGTAGGACCACTTCCTGTGTGTGAGAGTGAGTTTGCTCTATAGAATTAGCTGGGAGCCTGCTGGCTTTTAGCTCCAAGGGGTAGAGGCTCATGCACTAACCTCCAGAGGTCCCAGACTTAGTTCCACCTGTTGGTGTTATGCTCACTCTTGCGGTGTGATCAAATGATTGTGTTGCATTTTATGATGTTTGCATTTGCATGGTAGCTCATTCTCCTGGGTTTAATTAATGTATCAGACATTGAACTGATGCATGCAGGATGAATAGCATGGGCGACCCATTAGCATACAGCATTCAGCTGGGGTCTTTTGCTTGTGATGTTTTGTAGCAGTGTTTGTGGGGACTGGAGGTAAAGCATTCCAGTTCTGCAGATATAGGAGTCTGTTCTGGTCTTGTAGGTGTGTTTACAATTGGGGAGATTGGAATGAAGTGCATAGGGAAGCTGGCCGTAATGTGCCCACTATGGCAAGCTTAACTTCCGGGGAGGCTGCATTTAATCTGTGCAGCGTGCCATGACATTACAGCAGTGGGGACAGAGAGTGACTCAGTAAATAAATGCAGTCCCACCAATAACATTTAGCAAATATCAAGTATCAGAGGGGTAGCCGTGTTAGTCTGAATCTGCAAAAGCGGCGAGGAGTCCTGTGGCACCTTATAGACTAACAGATGTATTGGCGCATAAGCTTTCGTGGGCAAAGACCCACTTCGTCAGATGCATATAGTGGAAATTGCATGCAGTGGGCCTCATCCTCCCTGATTGGATCCACCTCGTCATCTCCAGTCTGATTCTGGCCTGCATATTTATACCTGCCTCTGGAAATTTCCACTACATGCATCTGACAAAGTGAGTCTTTGCCCACGAAAGCTTATGCTCCAACACTCTAGTTAGTCTATAAGGTGCCACAGGACTCTTCGCCGCTTTTATTTAGCAAATGGCTGCACTTTTTTTTTATTATTAACCAAAGCTCAGAAATCATCTCCCTGTCGCTTGCTTCTTTCCTGAGGGGCTTTGGAAATAGGAACGGAAAAGAAGGCAAAGCATCCAGTTGTCAACCTGAATGTTTGAAATGGTCTCTAATGCACAGTGCGAGGCTGCGCTTTATAAAAGCCAACTCATAATACAACTGTCAGAACGCAAAGGGCAGCTAATCCTGCGACCTCATGCTGTAGCTTTCGGAAGGCGTTTGCTCTTGTGCTTGCCCTCCTCTGAGGCAGACCATTATAGGACACGTTGCTCCTTGTGGGGGGCTGCGGGGGAAGGAGGAAGTAGCAGACGCCGGTTTGCTCAGATCCTACAGTGATGAGTGAGCCATGGGAAGCTGGAGGGAGCAGTGGGCAGGAGCATGGGTGTCTGTAGCATTACAGGTGGCAAGGTTGGCTTCTCTCCGCTCACAGTAAGGGGGAGATGATTCTTTGGTGTGTTCTCGTGTTTGCAGAGTGGCATATCCTGGTGGATAGCCCATCTGGTGGTCCTAGAGCACAGTGGTGAGGCTGTGATGCGAGGAGAGATTCATACCTGTGATAGGCTTGGCAAAGAGAAGGAGCCATCCTATCCCAATGTAACCCACACACCTAGTCTATGTCTACCCTGCCGGCTTTTGCCAGCAGAGAGTATGCAAATGAAGCACTGTTTAGCATTTTGTTGCACTTCATTTGCATAATCTATTCAAACCATTTTTGCACAAGGGCTTTTTGCGCAAAAAGGAAATGTCCACACTGCTTGTTTTTGCACAAAAACCCCTTGCGCAAAAACGGTGCGAATAGATTATGCAAGTGAAGCATGATAAAATGCTAATCAGTGTTTCATTTACATACTCTCTGCTGGCAAAAGCCAGCAGTGTGGCTCACTGTCCCATGCAGTGGCACTTAGACCACCTACAGCAGTGGTCCCCAACGCGGTGCCTGTGGGTGCCATGGCGGCCGCCGGGGCATTTGTGCATGCCCGCCGACAACCTGAGCCGGCCCCGCCCCCGGCGCATGGCGCACTGGAGGCGCTGGCCCCAGGGGCACATGCTGGCAGCCCCAGCCCCGGGGCACATGCTGGCAGGGGGCCCCGGTGCCGGCCCCAGGTGCACGGCTCAGGCGGCAACGCCAGCCCCCGGCTCATGGCACCAG